ATTAAGTTGGACATATCCTTCAGCTAGCAAAAGTAATTGAGAATAAAACTTCATTATGGCTTTTAAATGCGAATTAATCAATAGTATTGGCTATATATAGATTAAGGGAGTTCATTCCAGCCTGCTCTTAAAGTCAATGTTAAATAAATGTAACAATATGCAAGATTATACTATTTGGTTAGACAATTATTATTACATGTGAACTTCACATCTCAAGCCAATTTGGCTTTAAATTCTGCGCGGAACTAAACTGCATTCCCATATCTATCTACGACTATATTACACAACTCTGAAATGGGAATTATGAATATCTGTGTGTGTACGTAATCTATACTGACACTAAGCTATTATAAGAGTGAAGGAATAAGTCAATTGATCACCTGAACTTGTTTATGTGTATCCGGGCAAATCTCATATAATATAAAGTCGATGACTTCATTGACAGATCGAAACGATCTCCTTCCTCTTGGGTATCGATAAAACTGCATCAAATATTACATTTTAATCAATTCTCTACTTTGTTCAACGCACGCTGTGTTTAATGTCTTCATATGGATCGATGCATTCGAAACAAGAATGAAATGTTTCAAGATACAAATTCTACGTAGTCACACAAGTAGGTATATAGTCTTAATTAGATATCATGTCTCGGTTTTCCGCCCCACAAAAGAAACACAATAATAGAGTATTGCATCCAAAGTCATATGTTTCGTTGTAACTATGTAAGTTCTTGGGAATGATCAAAATATCAGCCATATGTATTACCATGTCGAGTCTCCCATGTGGGCGCATTCTGCACTGGATGTTCCAATTTTGCAACCTTTCTCTGAAAGAAAACTGAAGCGGTTTCATTGAATTCACCACCCCATCTCGCTCCTGCGGTTTTGAAAATGCGTTAGTCTCTTGTGTGTGTTGTGGTACACATCCACCCACAACGTTTTTACATCAAATGTAGCCTGTACAATATATACAGAAATGCATAAACTTCACACACACATGTACGCAGATGTCCAATTCCAATACAGTCATGATTTTTCTATCCTCATTTTGATTGCCAAATGGGCAGTACACTTGGACAACTTAATCCTATCTTCATTGGCAATTGGTATATGTCCCTGATCCATTCGCCCATTAATTATATACAAATAATAACATGAAAACCAAGAACAAGAAATATTGAACAGCACTTTATATGTTATTACAGGATTATCGTACCAAGAAATCACGATAACATGAAGCAGCAAGGTCCATATCTACGTTGTTTTCTGTGAACAGTTGAGGACACTCAAAGCTGACGGCTATGTCCCCAATCACAACACTCGTTACCATTTGACTCTTATCAAACGCAGGTGATTCCTCCTGACAATTTGAATTTAGGGTCAAGACGTAGTCAAGAATGAGCAGACAATACAATTCAGACAGACGGTTGTAATGAACTTACTGTTGTGTCAGTGGGGGAAGGATCGCCCACCAAAGCCATATCATTCTCTAAACTTAATCCTTGCTGCTGCAGTAGCGCGTATTTTTTTATTTGATCAACCTTTGCCTATATCACAAATCGCGACACAAAAAAGTGCATCAAAATATTTTCATGTTTTTTGAAAAGAATGCAAAGCACAGTCATGTTTTGCAAAAGCTTACATTCTAGTAATTAAGATAAAAACAGAAGAATTACGGAGATGATAGATGAGTAGAACTACTAAAAATTACAAAAAGATATGGTCAAGGTTAGGGCAACTTTGGAGTTTCACATCCCAACCCTTTAGCAACCACACTAAGTCCATCCAGGGCTACAATGAAATCATCAGATTAGCATTACAGCCTCCAAGACGAGTCAGTAATGAAATTTATTAACTTTCTACCAGAATCTATCATCCGTTCTTGTTCATTTCAATGATTATTTCATTGAGGTCAGGGAAATTACTGCCCTACTAAAAAAAGATTTTTTTAAATAATAGAAGAAAAATAGGAGGGGCCTAGAACCACAAATTACATTCCTTTATTCGACACGATCAAGTTCTTGTAGCCAAGAAAGGGACCGGTCGATAAAACAAACAAAACATTCCTCTATTCAAATCGATCAAATTATTGCAACCAAGAAAGAGGTTAGTCAATAAAACAGATAAAATAACAAAAAAATCATGATCAAATCGATTGTAAGTCATCAATTTGGGCAATCATTTCACTACTAACAAAGAAATCAGATTGAAAGGTGGGGTTCACTTACATTCACTGTTAGAGTAAGAGTATCAATTAGTTTACTATGGAGTTCAAAATGTTCATAATCTGTGGGTTTCACTGTCTCCCACCTAGTAACTTCCTGATTTTTCTTAGAATTTTGAGATCCAGCTCCCTCCATTGATCGATTTGACATTGCTTTATGCAAATGATCCGCCAGAGCAAGATGAATTGAAGACTAAAGCGAGACCTGTTTGGTTGCTAGAATCTAGATCCAGAGAAACAAGATAGACTCTCAAATATGCCTTGGGTAATAAAGGAGTGAGAAAGAAAATTATACATACCCATAAAATAGTGAGAGAGTGCGGGAGAGAGTAAAAATTTTTTTTTTAATATATACTGCCATAAAACATGTTTACTTTGTGTTTTTGTTTTTCTAAATATGTTTTCATTATTTTCTTATTTGTTTCCCGACAAATTAAATAGGGCAATATAGCTTTCATTAATACTACGTGTTACATCTATGAAGAAAAAGAATAAAACTAGGGGATAAATATCTTAATTATCATTTGTTTCGATAAATTATGTTGCTCTTTTAGGGCAAATTGCCATGTATTTTCTCATAATAATAAGCCTTTTATCACCACCACCATCACCATTATTGTTATTTAATCTCATGTTTGAATCTTCATTTTTTTTTGGGGCCAATTTTAGTATGGCTGCTTTTGCATTAGAATTTGCAGAGTATTTATAAATAAAAAGTGACTATATATATTTTTGCTATGTTGGGGTGATGTGAATGAAATTCAGATGAATTAATTTTAGAGGAAGTAGCAAGCAACAAGCATATTGTCTGGCAAAGGAATTCAGTTTATAATTTTATGTTAAGATTAATATAATCTTTGATCTCTCTAATTTATCTTTATTTTGATTTTGGTGGTTTCTCAAGTTTTAAACTATAGATTTTAGTTATTCAAAAGACAAAATAGTCCAGATTTTTATTAAATTATATGGACTAATGTTTTAAATGAACATAAACTTGAAAAACCAAAGTTTATAATTTAAAATTTGAAGGATTAGAACTAAGATAAGAACAAATTTGAGAGATTAAAAATTATATACAAACCTGAACCTCTAGATTGCTGCTACGTACCTCCTTCCAATCAATGGACGCGATTCCCTCTAATTAAATGCAATCAATGGAGGCAATTCTCTCCAATTAAACGCAATTAATGCTACATGTTGAAAGGCTTATTCACTAAATGCTCATACATTCCATTAAAAAAAATAAATGCTCATATATTCATGTATTTATCTATTAGAAAAAGAAGGCCGTAAAAGAAAATGAAAATGTGATTCTATATATTTGGATCAACATGAATCCACACTCTCTCTTATTCCTGTTATAAATCATTTCTAATTAATTCATTCATACCAATAAAGACAGTCAAAAGCATTAAATTTATTATAAAATTTAAGTGATTTTTAGTATTATCCTTAATAACTATACTAAATTCTAACATCATGTTAATTTTTATTCTCTAACTATTCTTATTAAGTATGGGCATAGATGACAAAAAAAATTCAATGCTACTTTTTGGCCCTGAATGTTTAATGCTCCTTGAAACTAAGCAAATGTCTTATAAAAAGGATCAAGAATACTTATTAGTTGATGCCTTATAGTTATAATAAGGATAAGGACTAGACACTAGAGGGAGTATTTTACAAGTATATTAAATTATTGTTTCGTTTATTTCCTTCTTTGTTTTTTTTTTTGACACACTTTATTTCCTTCTACACGCACCATCGAATAAATAAAATTAAATTCAGATCGATTAAAAAAATAGGAGAGATTAATCTAAATTTTAAATGCAGGAGTACATTTTGAAAAACAAAGGAAGGAAAATTACAGAGACAGTGGGATCCCCTCCCAAGTTCCCCTGTTATGAGTATTCATATACTCTATACTTTTACGTTACATAAAATTTTAAAAATAGAATATGCAATTGATGAATTTAAATCACATATTTTTGTGATGAATTATACATATATATTGATATTATTATCAATTATAGTGATATTAATGGCGAAGAGACCAAATTCCTTAGTCATCGCCAAGGTTTTTAATAAAATTAATATTGCCATATATCACCATAATAACCACCAAAATAGAGAAGAGACCACTATTTTTTTTGGGATATAAAGTACAAATTTTTTTCTTTTGCCATTACTCTCTCTTTTTAAAAGATGGGTTAGGCCGGATAAGACAAGTAAGCCCATTTAAATTCTAAAAGTGCTAGCCTGCCAGACCCTAGATGAAGAAAAGCTCATAAACCAAAACAAAAACAAAAACAAAAACAAAATCATATTTTTTTCGTTTTCACGTATTGGAAAATTTCAAAAAAAAAAAATTTAAGTTATCTATTTTGAAACATTATTACTCCTAGTATTACATCAAATCATCAAAATCTAATCATAATTTTTTTAAGAAATTAAATATTGATTTCATATATTATATAAATAAAATTTAAGAAATAACTTGCATTGTTCGTTGTGTATAAATTGTATAAACCTACATTTCATATTGAATATAAAAAATTTACGATCATTTTTTAAAATTTCAATATAATTATTTTTTCCCAGAAGATAATTATTCATTTTAAAGCCCACGGAGTATTTATTTATTTGGACAATGGAGTTTATTGATATAACGAGGGTAGAACTAATGTGCGACAGATATGGATGTTAAGTAACAACTGCATCAGCTTCTGATGCACGAACGAGTTTATTAATATTTATTTCCCCTGCCTATCTAGTTTCTCTGAGAAATGGGCTTCTTTTATCGTTGAGTTTTCCTTCTTGCAAGTGAATTCACTGGGGAAAAGTCAACGACGTCCTCTGGTTTTGAAGCCAACCAAGCGGCGGCCCGGCCGCTTGCCTGTTGGTTCCACGCTCGTTCCTCTTTTTCCCCCTCCTTCGCTGAGCGCGAATCGTGGTTCTTGGCTTCTTTCATGGCTAATCCTCATCTTCGCGCTCTACTACGGTGGCGCAAGTGGGCCAAGAAGGACTGGGCAATAGCCGCTGTTGGCTTCACTCTCACTGTCGTCTTTGCACTTTCTCTCATCTCAGATTCCCGGCGAAGGGTGAATGGTTCCGTAACCAACCCCTCGTTCGGTCTAAGCCAAAATGATGATCTCGTCGATCTGACCCTTCTTCGAAATGCTAAAGATAGAGGCGCTTGTATGTGAACTCAATCTCACTTCATCTCTAAATAATCAAAAACAACGCTCAAGAGTAAAGTCTATTACTTTATTGTATAATTTGAGCCTGTTTGCGTAGTTTGCTTGGATGGGAGCTTGCCGGGATACCATTTCCAAAAGGGGTTTGGATCCGGCTCTAACAATTGGCTACTTCACATTGAGGTTCTTTTGCTTACGTAAAGCTTTATGAAAAGCTCAAAGAAAATGAAAAGGAAAAAAAGATCACTTGAACTGCTTTATTACAACTCTGTGTTTGGATGTAGGGAGGAGGTTGGTGTAATACGATGTCTTCGTGTTCTCAGCGAAAAATGACTGCTTTGGGATCCTCAAAATATATGGATAGACAAATTCGTTTCTCGGGAATCTTAAGCTCTGACCCTGCGCAGAATCCTGGTGTAGCCTCTGCATCTTATGTAGCTACCTTATTGGCCATTGCTAACGTACCATATTGGTTTGGTTTCTTTTAGTTACAAACTGCAACTTCTATACCCGGCCGTGTAATGCTGCTAACTCTGAGATAAATCCCTTTAACACTATGATTTGGAACTTTAATCTTGTTGGTACCAAATATCCTGTGATTAAATCACTGCTCCAAATCAAACTTCATAAATCATCATAAACATTTTACAAAATGTACATATTTAGCTGTGCTGCAGTGGAAGTAGTTTTAGTTGGTTGGACGTGAATATTCAGTGAACGGTGTTACTTAGCTTGGTTTCAAACTTACTCAGATTTCTTTAGCTGGAACAAGGTTAAGATACGTTATTGTGATGGTGCGTCCCTCGCTGGTCATCCAGAAAACGAGATTAAGGTTGGTCTCGCTTCCACTTGTGCAGCATTGACTTACCGAGAGTTTCTTAATTATTTGCAACGGGTTTTCCATAGCTCCATGACTTGTGTGTCTATATAAGAAGTTCCTCTTGACATTTCTTTCTTGTTTTTGTTCTGTTACTTCAGAAAGGAAATAAATTATTCTTCAGAGGTCAGCTCATATGGGAAGCACTTATCGATGAACTCTTGTCAATTGGCCTGTCTGAAGCCAAAGAGGTTATTCTTCCACGCCTTTCTAACATATATCTCTCATTCCTTACTCTCTAAAGTTTGGTGGAATTTTGACCAACTAAAGTATTGTACACTTGTAAAAAGATATCCGGCTCTCTGTTTAAATTTTATCACATCCGCAGGTTATATTAATAGAATATCTGAACTAAGATGGGTACTTCTTTTAATGCTCATCAAAATCCTGACGAGCTGATATAAATATAAAGTCATTTTGTCCTTAATCCTTGTGCCATTGTAGATTATGAACCCAGTAAAGCTATCATTGTTTTCAATTGCTTTTATTTTTGTAGGAAATTCTTTGTTGATTGACTTGGCGAGTGGCATTACAAACATGATTCTTGAGTATTGATGTAACTAGTCCAGTGGGTTAATTATGCCATTAATTTTTTCCTTCTTACAATTGACTAGTTGATTTGCCAAGAATGGCATTATACATAGATTGTAAATGAAAGCCGAATCAATATAACCTAGAGTGAAAGAAATTGTGGGATTATTTAGATTTTATTGACTAGCTGTAAGTGAAGCAAATCCTTAGTGGACGTAAGTGATAGATGGAAGGTAGTACGCAGAATATGCTTTCTTTTCATGCAATTTATGTTTATCTAATTATATTTTTGTTTCCTTATACTGGTGAACTTAGATCTGCAAATGTGATGATAGGCGGGTTACTCATGCAGGCTCTGCTTTCAGGATGCTCTGCTGGAGGATTGGCAACTCTAATACATTGTGATGCCTTTCGAGGACTTCTTCCAAAGGAAGCAACTGTAAAGTGTCTTGCTGATGCGAGCTTCTTCCTTGATGAGTATGTTTTCATTTACATATCGTTGTCTTTTCCTGCCATAACCTTTTCTGATTGTTATTGAACTTAAGTTTCCCAAAATACTTTCATTGTTACACAGTGCATTCCAAGGTTGACAATTCTTTAGGATTGAGTCTGTAACTAGAAGATTTCAATTGCATTGAGCTATATTTGAAGCCCTTTTTGAACAGATTCACTACTATGCATCTACTTGTTGTATGTTTCACCGACAAGCAAAATAAAAATTGATCCTTTTTTATGCCTTAAATTTCAGGAAGGATATTCTTGGCAATAACACCATGAGATCCTTCTATCATGATGTTTTCCAGCTTCAGGTAATGCATACCTTGTCTATTAAATGAAAAGGCATAGACACTTAGATGGATGTTGCGGGCTTGCCATGGAACTAAGTAAAAAAATCTGGATATTATTTGAAGTGCTTTGCCATATGGCATCAGCTTCTAATGTGTCAAAAGCGGACATGGGACTATTTTTTCTTAACTTTATTTATTGAGTAATCTTTTTTTTTTTTTCTGGTTTCAATTTAAAGCCCAAAAAGATATTTCCCCAACTAATGTCTCTTCATGTTACCTGTCCTCTCAGAGTGTTATGAGGAGCTTGCACAGAGACTGCACTACTGCTATGGAACCATCTAGGGTATGTTTCTTCTTGCTTAGACACCCCTTAATGCTCTTCAATGACAAAATTAAACGGTTTGAGGTTGGTTGGCATGATTCAGACCAACAATAAATGGTACCACCAACTGTTGATTTGCTTTGCAGTGTTTCTTTCCAGCTGAAATTATGAAAAGGCTGCAGACTCCTGTGTTCCTAGTCCAGCCAGCTTATGACTTCTGGCAGGTAAATTTCCTCAATAAACAAGTTAATTACCTAATTTTATTTTTTACCCTATCACAACGACACAACCATATGATCGGAAGTTGGTATATCTAGATACAAAATGTTCTGGTACCGGAAGGGTCGGATCCTCAAGGCCACTGGAAAAGATGCAGATTGAGCATTTCCAATTGTGATACTGATCAGATGGATATTCTTCAAGGTAACTAAACATCATAGCTGAAGGCCAACAGATAGTTCTCCACTGCTATATTGCTGCCTCACAATATTGACTAGATGATATAATCCCGTTTGGAATATCCAGTTGCCTTCTTGGCAAATCTATTATATTTTGAGACGACATCAACATGTCTATTATAGTTGTAAGAAGTCACATTGTTCACCAGCTGTAAATAGTGTAACTCATCTTGGGTTTTGCGCAAATACAAGAGACCTATTATAGCTATACTAATTTAGACTAGGGAATTCCTGGTAATTGACTGAATAGAAAGCAGTGAATGTTATATTGATGGATAACTTTTATGAGTTTAGGTACATGAAATAGTCATCCTGTTACCTTATCCTACTGGGTCATATTTTGAAGGCCATAGTAAGATGTCTGCATTCAGTCTCACTTCATTGAATGATATTCCAGGGATGTACGCTTTGCATCCATTTACAAGTTTTTTATAGTACTGTTTAGGAATATGGTCCGAAGGAAATTAGGGCAGCATGTCAGTATTAGAAATTTTTTTAATATTTTTAAGTTTGAACATCCTTTTTTCTGACGGTTGGTCGGTTTGCATGACTGAATATTGCCATCGAATTGGCATTTAACCTGGTGTTATTAAATATGAATGATAACTTGATTTGAGCAAGCTTTTATTGTCTTTTATGTATCCGTACTCGATCTTGATTTTTTAAATAATCATTCAGGTTTCCGAAATTCTTTTCTGAAGTCCTTGAGTGAATTCCGCCCTCGAAGGGAGGTGGGACAGTTCATAAATTCTTGTTTTACTCATTGCCAGACTTGGATGTCTGAGACGTGGCATTCAGCCAGTTCTCCTAAAATAAACAAGAAGGTAAGTGCAGTTTCACTTCATTTTCTGTGGAGATCAGACCACATAATCATTCAAGCCAAGTTCACATTTGTGTTATAGGAGTCATTTAAATAAATTCACTCTCTTCTCTGTTTTCAGACTCTGTATACGTACTGTCATCACCCGATCAATTTGTCATTCTGGCATAAAAATACGATTCAATGCACTTAATGTCAAGTTACAAGCTCTCTGCTTAGAAAAGGATGTCTAACTGAGAAGTTTAAGTATTTTGGGATTATCTTTTCCTTTTGTACATGTCTATAACTTCAGCGTTTTTCTCCATGTTTCAATTTGAATTGTGTCTATCGGGAAGGGAACTCTTGGAGAAACGTAGCTTCAGGAAAGTGGAGCCTGTGTTCTGTTTTCTAATTCTTATCTGACTCTTAACTTGTCTTTTGGCCCATGTTTTGTTTTCCAATTAATCTGACTTCTAACTCATCTTTTTGGCTGCCATTGGAACAGACCATAGCTGTAGCGGTTGCTGACTGGTTTTTTGACAGAGAAGTGGTGAAACAAATCGACTGCCCATATCCATGCAATCCCACTTGCCATAATATGGATTTCACTGCAATATACTAAAATTTAGGACCTCGGTCTTCTTTGGCTATTCTATCTTGGATTGGCTATCTAGTTCACGAAGATATATTTTCATTCATTTCATGTTCTCAGCATGATCTTGGGCTTTATATCGAAATGGAGCTAGAGAAGATGATGCGGACAGTTGATATTACTCGAATGCATGAAATGGAATCACCTCTCCTCTTACATGCAGCTTGAAGTGTCTCACTTTACCACATCAGAAGTTCTGCGATCAAATTCTCTGTTGTTTTTGGTGCTACTGGCGGCAATCAGGTTTAAACATTGTAGAAATTACCATAATCTCGCACCACTACTAGATCAAAGCAAGTGGCTTACTGTACCATTACTTTCAAATCTTTTGATTTATGACAATTCAGTTTCTGTTAGGATTCTCATATACATTACTGTGTTGATACAGTGGTTTTTTCCTTTTTCTTTGTTTCTTAAATATCTTAAAATTTAGATCAATATCCTAAGTTATACACAATTCTTTCGTTTACATTTGTCAATCGGCGCTTGCTTTATTAGATTACCCATAATTGCTCGTGAATGTTACTCTACCTTGCTATGGTTATCAATTCTTCTTCTACTACTATTATTATCATTATTATTTGATTGGGTTCTTCACTTTATTTTTATTGCTGCTTCTGCACATGAACCTGCAGAAGGAAAGTGAAGCGGAAATTTTACTCAGTTTTTCTTTTTTTTAAAAAAATTGTCTGAAAATTTGAAATCCTCCCCAGGGGTTTTCCTGCTCAAAGGTCAAAGCTTGTTGGTCAACTCATAATTCTGAAATTGATTAAAAACATAAAATACTAACAGTCATGCGTTTTGTTTGCATACCTCTGTTTGCGATATATTAGAGAAAAATCTATGATTAATAGTTTAAAGTGTTTAACACGACCAATACTATATCTGACAAATATATTTGCGGAATAGAAAAGTGTGAAAATAACTATGTACGAACGAAACTACCCAGTGATTGCTTTGCCAGAGAATGAGACCAGGAGAACCCGCGTCAGAGCATGTACGATCGGCACTGAGTCAGGGAATCAGAAAGTGTGGACTCACATATCCGGTACCCAAAGACTTAATTGGGCTCTGGCCCCCTCTATATGATCCTATTAGGCCCATTCCTTCCTTTAACAAAGGAATAACTAAGCATAATAAACATATGACAAAAACCAACAGGATGAGATTTAGTAGAAGAGATTAATTCTTCGCAACATGACAAATTGATATTTGAATTTCCAGGGAGAGACGTCACATTTAGTACCTGATGGTGTCTTGAATATGATTGCTTCCAGAAAGAAAAATATACATAAATAAGTACACACGTGATAAGAACATTATAAAAATGTGAGTTTCTATGGCAACCCAAAAGGAGGCGTTGAGGTTTTATCATCTTTGAATCTGATTTTGTACATTTCTCTGTTTACATATTTCATTTCCCACACTTCTGTTTTATACCCTTCATTTACTAGGTGGATAGCGGAGTCTGTAAAATGCTTCTGCCTTTCCCTCCAAAATTGTCCTACTTTTTTTTTTTAAAACAATTTGTGTTTAATTAGTATATGTACTAAACGTTTCACATCTTCTACCCTTTCCATACTTGGATCTTTGGGTCATCTTCTCAAATTTGATCCTTATATATCTCGTTCTCGGAAATATCGTATTAATTTTTTTTACCCATTACATTGTGGTGGATAAAACGGTTAATGAGTTAAAGTTTGACGCATCGATCCGTTTTATCAAAATTAAAATATATGAAGGTAGGTAAGATGAACTGCTAATCATAGTAACTGCTTTTTTTTGAAGTGAATTAGTTTCATTTGATTCCTGTAACTCATGCGGCCAATTTATTATTGCAAAAATTAGGTGTAGGCCTCTAGTGGATAAATTAATGACTAGTAAGTCTTCTGAATTTGTCATATTTTTAATAGGTCTCTTAAAAAAATGGTGCAAAAACATACAGAAAAATCGTATTTTTTAAGATAGATCCGTGAATATTATAGGAAGACTTGTAAAAAAAATATCATCCCAATTATATAGTTTAGTGCTTAACTGTGAATTTTATTTATGAATCCTCTTATAATATTTATAAGTCAAGCTTAGAAATTTACAATTTTTTTCCGCGTATTATTTCACAAGTTCTCCCAAAAAAAATCACTTAGGGTGTGTTTGGCAAGCACCCCAAACCATGGTTTTGGGATCCAAACCATGGTTTGGGAAAAATGTTACCCAAACACCCTTAAAAAAATCAAAACCATGGTTTGGGTTCAAAACCATGGTTTTGACTCCAAAACCATGGTTTTGGGAAAAGCAGAAATTTTTTACTTTTGGAGAAAAAAGGGAGAGTGTGAGAGCCTATAGGATATGTATCTTGTTGTTTTTTTTATAAACATATTTTTATAAACATATTAATCTTATATCTTATAAATAGATATACATATTAATTATTTATTAATTAGAGGATCTTATATATTATTAATATATGTTAATAAAAAATATATTATTAACAATTTTATTCCTTCAAATTAAAATATATCATAAAATATATTTTTTCTATAATTATCATATTAATTTATGCCAATTTGTATATATAAAAAGTACTTCTAATAACAACTATCCAAACACTCACACTTTTCAAAATCACTTTTTCACAAAATCTATTCTTCCCAAAATCTATTTTTTTCAGAATCTATTCTCCAGAATCACTTTTCCAAACCACGGTTTGGTTTCATCCAAACACACCCTTAGTAGTTATTCAAATTTGAGAGACCGGTGAATAATTAATTTTTCTTACCTAAGACTTATCCATAATTTCCCCTCTATTAGTTCATTTCATTTTTGTCATCATTGAAAATCTCGTGTCTAATTTGCTTGAAGTAAAGTCATAGCTCAATTGGCTTGCCTACATGAACAACATTTAATACAAAATTTAGTACGTCAATTCATATTTAAGCATTGGCAAACATTTAAACAAGGTATTTCTTCTAACATGCTCGTTTATCTTCAAAATTTGATCATATATATGCTGTTTGACTTTACATTTTACCAATAAAAAAAAGGCATGTTTCTTTCTTTCTTTTTTACACAATTAAATACATAAAAAATGTCAGCATCATCCCAGCGTGGAGGATGGCAACAAAAATGAAAAATATTTCTTTTCACCCAAGTGGTTGATTACATAAATAAATGGTTGGTCAACGCATATGACATCATAGATAGGTGCACTAGAACCACACCCAGAAAAGAAAAGAACAAGGATGACGAAACTATCTACCTGGAGCAGTTGAGTACTGGTTCCACCATGTCGAGCTTCCGTCATATCACAACTAAATTCAAGTCATGGACTCTTGCAGATACCTAAACTCGCTCTTTAGTGTTATCCACTGCATGAATTTGGATTTTTCTGTGTGCATATATCGAACCATCTTTCTTGAACCGCCCTTAAAGCTCTTAAAACCTCACATTAATTAGCTTGTACGTCATGCGGCTGACTTCTGGCAAAATTGGAAATCTTCAATTCCTAGATTGCTTCTTCCACCGTTGTCTACAATTTAACCATTTAAAGGAATCAAATCATAATTTTAAAAGTGATTTTACAATATACGAAATAAATATATAAAAGAATTTATTTCGATTTATAAAAAAGTATTTTTCTGAAGCACTTCTCATGCCATTCAAACACCCTCTAAATATGTCACCATAGATTTCATTTCTCAAATTCAAACTAATACTTCAATGCCAATCGTTTTTCTTTTCTTTTCTTTTCTTTTTCCTTTAATCTAAAACATGATGAGTTTAACAAGGAAATGCCAATTTTCTTGACTATCTTTATCATTATTCCAACTCTACCTAAATTACGCTGATAAACTCTTTTCAACCGCTCGGCTTCTGCAAGTAGTTGATTCCAGCTTCGCCTTTATTCTTCTCTGTCCTCTTTCTTCTAAACTATAACTACGATCAATGATATTCTCAAATTTTGTACAGGGATTTTAATTTAGTATAATTTAGAATACAATCTTTTATATCAGCTTTCTCTACTTTGAAAATTTTAATCCCATAAGAAGTCGTGGTCCTGTTTCAGAGAAATTGTACTAAGTCAAATGATGTTATTTGTGGTGTATCCAGCATATTGATTTTTTTTTTTTTTACTTCTAATTGTGAGAAATACCATAAATAAGATTGAAATTCTCGATGTTACTGTACTCTTTTAAATTTTTAAGCCATATGTATTTAGTATTTAATTTTTAAAATCTGAGCGAAGCTTAAATTGTACTATTAACCCATAATCAAGGGGATTTATTATTAATTTTGGGACATAGTTTTTTTATAGGATGGGACATAGTATTCTAATACTACCTTCAGTCATAAATATAAGATCTAATCTATGGTGTAAATTACACTACAAATTCATTCTTATATTTAGAACTAAAAATAGTAATAAAATAATAGGCTAATTAATGAAATAAATACTATTTACACAATTTTTTTCAAAAAAAACTAGAGATCATTTCAACTAAAAATTTTAAGAGGTGTTTAACTGTTTATTCTTCTTGACTGAGTCTAGCAAAATATCAAAGTTTCTGCCAAGTGTTGAGTTCAGCAGACATGGAAAGGAAAAAGCCCTGATTTTCATATCAGCAATTGTGATTCACCTCTTCATATTAACATAAACTAAATTTGATGTTACAGCAAAAAAAAGAGGAAACAACAAGAGGAGAAAAAAGTCATGATGAAATTGTTGTATTTAACTACTGTTAAAAAAACACTATTGTTTCCAACAGAAATTTGACCAACTTGTTAGTGTTAGTATTTTCCAAAGTAACTTTTGTGTATTCCTATTGTATGATCTCCAATCCAAAGAATTCACAAACCAGTTTCTTACAACATCGGCTTCCGGATTTTCATACCTAAAATTTGAACCAAACATCACACTCTACCATCAACTTGTTAATCCACCTTCTAATGTCTATACGAGGCTGATGAGCGCCATATTTTCCCCTCCAAGGAGATTATGACAATGGAAATATCATCATGAAATAAACGTCGTTCTCCTTGTGGGATTTCCAGCAACTCATGAAAATCCATACCTGCAATGCAAAATCACATGTCAAAGCTGTTCATATCCAATTATAATGAATGAACCCTTTTTCCCGCCTTATTTTCATTATCATTAAGCACGTCAGAGAGTTGAATTCCACAATCTAATTGCAGAAGAAAAGGGCTTTTACCGGCTTTTGTTGCTGCTCTGGCCAAAGCTTCTTCAATGAGAAGTTGTGCAGGATCTATCTCTGGATACAAAGTCATGAAAAATTCAACTCTGTAGACTGCCTCTTCATTGGTGAAGTATTGGTAAAGTCCATCGGAGGACAATATCAAGAATCTGTCACTAGGGCTGAGCGTGTAGTGTTTAAGAGAAGGTGAGCATGTGATGTAGGGTGAATCCCCTATATAGTCCACTCTGAATGTCTCTAACACTGCATTGTTGTATTTAGGCTGTCAAAATAACCCAAAT